CCGGCCTCAGCCTCCCAAAGTGCTGGGATTACAGGTGTGAGCCACTGTGCCTGGCCAACATTTTCTTAATACATTCAGTTATGCAAGTAAATGCACAGCAAAAATGCTCTTCTTGTTATTACCCTTCTTCTCTTTCATCCTATAACTCAGCCTTATAAAAAGTACATGTTCACTTACTTAGCAGAGCTTCGGAAAAGGAGAGGCTATTTCTTCATTTTGCAGAAATGCACAATGATCTCTTAGTATCCTGATGGATGGACAATGATACACTATTTTTATTCATTCTTCCTTCTAGTGGACTTTCAAGAAGAAGACTGAACTAAAACTAACATTTACTCTTAAGACCAACACAGGACTGCCTATATCTGTCTTAGACTTCAGATTAATGTTGAATTTCAGAAGATAAAACATATTTTCATTTATTTCAGCAAGTCACTTAATTTCTCTGAGACTCAGTATCTTCATTTGTGAAATGCAGTGAATATCCTTTCTTCTCAGGCTTGTTTTGAAGGTAAAATGAAGTACTCCAAAGTATGTAAAAACTGCCTAGCACAGTATTTGACATACTAGATGTCGATAAATATTAGTGGAATCTAAAGCTTAAACTGTATTTTAAAAGAATTAGCATAGAATGTTATTGAAAGACAAACAGTTGCCAGAATTTTTTTTGTTTCGTTTTGTTTTGTTTTCTTTTTTTGGAGACAGGGTCTCACTCTGTCACCTAGGCTGGAATGCAATGCTCACTGCAACCTCTGCCTCCCGGATTCAAGAGATTCTCCTGCCTCAGCCTCCTGGGTAGCGGGGATTACAATTGTGCGCCACAATGCTAGCTATTTTTGGTATTTTTAGTAGAGACGGGGTTTCACCATGTTGGCCAGGCTGGTCTTGAACTCCTGACTTCAAGTAATCCACCAGCCTCAGCCTCCCAAAGTGTTGGGATTACAGGCATGAGCCACCATGCCCTGCCTCCAGTATTTTTTTTTTAAATAAAATTTGGTTTTCTGAAAAGGAGAACTCTTGCTCTAATACAATAAGGTATCAAATGATGTGTTAGAGACTGGAAGAGTTGCTGCATTTTTCAAAATTACCCCAAAACTAAAGAGAGATGGGTAGCATGAGATTGAAAGGACTCTAACCATGAGTAGGTTGGTTCAGGAGGCCTAAGATGAATGTCTCTCGTATTATGATATGTGCCATGACATATACCCTTTCAACCCGAGAGGTTTTCTGAATTAGAAAGAAGAGGGTATCCCTTTCTTTTTCTGTGGCTTTTTCTTAGACTCTTAGCTAATCTTGACATTTCAAAAAATTGGACCAAGAAAACTGATGTAAAAAGGAAATATTTTTAGTTTTATGATGAATATACAAGAAGAACAAGAGATGCTTGCAGAAGAAACCAATGGAACAATAACTATCACCTGAAGTTTATCAAATGAGCAAAGCTTATTGTACTTGTTAACATAGAGAAGTTTCATACCCAAATCTAAGTTGCTCCCTGGTACAAGACTGCACCTATATCTTGTCCTTCTGCTTTGAAGAGTTTCTTAAAATAAAAATGTAAATAGATAAGATGTTAGCTCAAATTTCATTAGCTTCAAGTCTCATAGTAGCCATATAAGTATCTCATAGGTACACACTCAAGATAATTGAATCCCAAAATAATGGTAGAAATCTGTTTCCAGGAAACTGTTCATTAATGGTAATTATCATTGTTAGCTCTTAAAAAGCAGATTTAAGGTTCAGAAGCAAGTCTGAGGCATCAGAGGCTGGTGGTATTGTAATGTTTACTCTATCTGCCCAAGCAGTCTTATGGGGGAAATATGTCTACTCACAGTGCAGAGGAAGGGCCATGTCTTGGTCTTCCATGTCTTGGACCATGATCCAATCTTGCCACAGCTCTTTAGGCCTGAACTTCCATCTCTGACTTGGCACAGCAAAGAGTAGCGTCAATCAGATCTCACCCAACCCTTCTCTCTCTCTTTGGAATTTGAACAAATCAATATCTAGAGACTGAGTGCACTTAGAAGTGGGATTAGAAGCTGAAAAATGAGGAGGTAGAGTTAGAGCAGGAGAGGCCATATCAGCCATGTGCAAGTCTAGTTATTAATTGAGATTAAGCAGGCCAAACCTGCTGGTTGATGACCAGAAAGAGGCAGATACAGAGAGTATAACTCAGTCCATTCACCTACAATCTCCCTGAAGATAGGGATAGTGTCTGTCTTGTTCATTACACTTTCCCCAATATTTAGCATAGTTCTTGGTTATGAAAAAAAATTTGTCACTCAATACATATTGCTTGAATGAATAGTTAATGAGTTAGCAGTGGATGGCTAGAGCAAGCCCCTTACATGGCCTTCTTTCCAGAAACCCTGTCCAGTACCTGGAACCAGAGCCCTACATCTCCCCACGAAATTCCTTCTTCAGCACAGCCTATGTCTTCTTATTGGCCTAAGCCTCCAATGCTTCCCATTATTTGAGTCAATTTGTTTGCCTCCTTGATCCTTGTCAACAAGTTTCAAAACCAACTTTGTGATAGAGAGGGAGGGACTTAGAAAGAAAGAGAAAGGAAGGAGAGGAATAAAGAGAAAGAGAGAGAGGAATGGGGTAGGAGGTGGGGTGATAGAGGCTACCTTTAAGCTTTTAAGTCCTCCTTTTTTTTCTAGTGAGGTATACAAAAGACCCTTCACAGCCTCCCTACAGAGACATTCAGGCTTTAGATGTAAGGCTAATAGACAAGATAACTGCAACAAACAGCCTATTCTAGTAAATCCATCTGTAAAAAGTTTGCCCAAGAGAGGTGATTATACTTTGTCATTAGAGCAGACTAGTTACATAAAATAAAACAACCTCATAGCTATGTCCTTGTAAATTGTTTGTATTATGTTGAATGATAGCAACTAGACTTTCATGCTTCTGTTTAATGGAGAAGAGTAAAGTGGCACGGGAGGCTATTCTACTGAATAAGATGTACTCAAAAATAATAATAATAATAATAATAATAATGCATTCTCCTTCTCAACTCATAATGTCCTCCTTCTTTACTATCACTGGAATGCACCCACTATTGTGTCTTTAAGAAAATCTAAACACTTGATTTTTTTCTTCTACATAGGAAGAAACTCAGAGATGATATGGAGGAAAACGTTACACCATTTTACGAAAGCAAATTTTGCTTTCATAAAGCAATGTAATTCCCTTGGGCAATAAATATGTTTCCAGGTCTGGTTCATCCTCAATTAATGGGAATTAAAGTATCCTCATGTGACAGATAATGGGAAACTTATCTTTCAGTTGAATACTAGCCCTGTACTTTTCAGAAGCAGATATAAGCCAAGCATACCATCTGCATTAGAAGGAACATCAGATGACCAATGTTATCCTTGTCTTCCTTCTAGCACTTATATGCATGAGGTGCTATAGCAGTAGGATGCTCTGACTGGTCAAAAGCAATACATTAATATTCACGGGGGAGAGAGGGAAGGAATAAAGAATAAAGTACTTACTTGGTCCTAGACCAATTGAAAAAGCAGCAACATAAACAAGCAAGCTGGCTAAGGACAGCCATTTCAAAAAAGCTGGGACGTCCCCAGGGTCTGTGACTATCTGGTATTCAGTGTGGCTTAATACAGCATTTAGCAAGGATGCTGAGGTTGTCTCCCCTCTCTTATCCACATCATTTCTCAGGGGCATAAGTGAGCTTCTGCTATGGGAAGCAATTCCTTTAAAGTGGTCTCTGAGAGTATTGTTGCTGGCTGACAGGTTTCCTGGTCCATAAATCACAGACTCATCCAAGGACTGGTTGATAGAATTGTGGCTTCTGCAGATATTGGTGAAGTTCATGTGGATGTTGAGATTTACGATGCCCATGGTCACCAACGAAGCTGCCATCACAGAGGAGCCAATGCAGAGGAATGTTTTGCTGCCGACATGGTCTACAAGAAGAGTGGCGGGGATGGTGCTAATGACTTTGACGACTCCAACCCCAGTGGAGGCAAGGCTTGCTGCCTCATTGCTTTGAAATCCAACTGACTTCAAAACAGTTGATGCATAGAACAATATGTTTGGCTGGCCAGTGATTTGTACAAAAAATACCAGTGTTAGTCCTATCATTATTCGGGTCCGCATGTTGTCTTTTGAACGGAACAGATCCCAAAAACTATACTGATATTCATCTTTCAAGGATGATTTGATCACAGTAAGTTCCTCAGTTGTATCTGAGAGTGCTCTTAACCTTCCAAGAACCTTGCTAGCAGCTCCCTCTTGTCCTTTCATCACCAGAAACCGAGGGCTTGGAGGAAGAAAATACATTGCAATTGCTTGCAAAATTCCCAAGGGAATCACAAGACCAAACATGTACTTCCAGCCATGGAAAACATTGGCAAATGCGTAATTTGAAATATAAGCAGAAAGAATGCCGATGACAATCATCAGCTCATTCAGTGACACAAGAAGGCCTCTTCTGTGTTGAGGAGCAATCTCTGCGATGTAAACACAAGTGGCAATGGAGGAGAGGGAGATGGAGACCCCTATGGCAATGCGTCCCACTATAAGAACCGTGTAGGATAAACTGAGGATCAAGACTAAGCTTCCGAGTCCAAGCAGGCAGGATGACAAGATGATTGCGGTCCTTCTTCCATACCTGTCTATCAGGACCCCTCCGGTGAGTGAGGCGAGGAGGGCTCCAATGAGGAGGGAGCTCACAACCATTTCCTGCTCATGGCAGCTCAGGGTTAATAAGGTTTTGATCTGAAGAAGAGCCCCAGAGATGATCCCAAGTTCATAACCCACCAGGAGGCCACTGACAGCGGCAGTGACAGATGACAGGAAGGTAAACATGCCGCAACCTACAAGCATAGAGAAGAGACAGGGAGGTCAGTTCTCAGTTGAGATTTTAAACATTTTGTGTTGGGGAGGAGATTTAACCTTGTAGAAGTCTTTCACAGTACTGAGTTTAAACACGCACATAATTGTGATAAAATAATACACTAACCAAAAAATGATTTGATATAGAAGGAGAAATCATTTTTCTTTCTTTTTTGGGAGGAGAGGCATGGAGACATGTAGGAAGTCCAGTTGCCTTCTATTTATGATGTTGATGTTTTTGGTTTAGATCAGACAGCGATGTTGAGATAAGAAGTTGACACATGGTGAAGACCGAACAAACAAAAATATCATTTGGTTCATGCCTTGGCAGTGGATCAGAAATTCAAAGAGCCTAACTCTTCTGGTCCCATCTCCGTTCTCTAAAGGCAAATCTTTGAGGGCAGGAGAGAGAGAATAGGAGCCTCTAAAAGTGCTACAGGCTCCCTGCTGGATAGCCTGGGTCAAAATGAAACACAGCCTCCAGGAAACTTGCCCTCTTATCCCCTGGGCCACAATCGTGCTGCAAATGGCTCTGCTGAACACATGAGGGTGTTGGGGCAGAGGGTGGAGGTGGGAGTGGGCAGTGTGTGAATGCCTTAACAAAGTCAAACTTTTGCTAAACAGAAGGAAGGAAGAAATGTATGTAGTGTAAGGAACCAACAATATCCCTTACTCATTCTGAGTAAGGAGAAAGGGGGATGGAACACAGGCAGAACAAGGAGACTTTACCTTTATATTGTTTTTTTGTTAATGTTCAAATCCAAGGAAAAATGTCAAAAAGTTAGTAACTATTGATTTTTGGTGGTAGGAACACAGATGTTTGTTATATGTTTGCAACTTCTCAAAATAGAAACAAAACAAAACAAAAAAAGTAGCAGAGGGAAGAATATTTCAGGCCCAGGAGAAAGTAATTTCCAAGGCCTTAGGACAGGAAAGTTCTCATTATGTTGTAGGAACTGTCAGATGGCCAGCATATGACATGTGGGCCACATCGCGAGCCTGGAGAGGTAGGACGGAAAGGGCTTAAAATGAATTTGGATAAGTACAGAGGCAGCACTTTAAGTAGGGCCTTGTCAGTCCCAGTGATGACTTTTCATTGTGTTTCAAGTATAATGGGGCCAACACCCATTGAGAGGTGTAGAGGGCATTGATGCTATCGGCTTCTTATTTATAAAGACCACCTTCCCTGCAATGTAGAGATTAGTTCTTCAAAAGGCAAGACTGGCAAGACTGGCAGCAGGGAGGAGTTTGTTGCCTTGGTTTGGACAAGAGATAATGGTAGCTTAGACTCGGGTGTTAAGAGTGGAACTGGAGATAAGTAGGCAGATTCCAAGACTTATTTTGGAGCTAAAAACCACTACACTTGTTCAAGGCCGGGTGTGGTGGCTCACGCCTATAATCCCAGCTCTTTGGGAGGCCGAGGTGGGTGGATCACCTGAGGTCAGGTGTTCGAGACAAGACCAGCCAACATGGCAAAACCCCGTCTCTACTAAAAGTACAAAAATTAGCTGGGCATGATGGTGCATGCCTGTTGTCCCAGCTACTTGGGAGGCTGAGGCAGGAGAATCACTTGATCCCAGGAGGTGGAGGCTGCAGTGAGCTGAGATCGTGCCACTGCACTTCAGCCTGGGCAACAGAGCAAGACTCCATCTCACGAAAAAAACAAAAAACAAAAAAAACTATTACACTTGTTCAAGAATTGGAGATGGAGGGTAAGAAGTGGGTCAGAACCCAGGATGGCTCTGTGGCTTGAGCAGTTGGGTGGGAGATTTACAATATTCCATATACTCAATACAGTACTATATGGGGCCAACACCCATTGAGAGATGTAGAGGGCATTGTGCTATATACTGTGTAGCGCAACGTACCGACATAGGGAAGATTAGGAATAGACTTGGTTGTGAGTGGTGGTAAGAGGAGAGGCAAAAATCAACAATTTCATTTTGGACTTAGTAAAATGGTTTATTTATTTTACCTGTGAGACATTCAGATAAAAATGTTAAGTAGGGGATTGGGTATACAGATTTGGAGCTTAAAGATAGGTCAAGCCTGGACATATGTATTTGGAAACCAGTGGCACACATTTGGTATTTAAAGCCACAGGAATGGGTGAGATCACTTAGGAAGATAGAATAGGGGAAAACGAGAAGCAGGATCAAGACTGGGACCTAGGCAACGCCAATATTTAGAAAAGTAGCGCCAGCAAAAGAGATGGAGAAGAATCAGAACTGAGGTGTAACTCAAATGTTAGAAATGTGCTTCGGCACACAGTTTTCATAGGCTGAGCTAAGGCTGCCTTTTTGGCGTTGGGGGAGAACAGAAAACCAAACACTGCGTGTTCTCACTCATAGGTGGGAATTGAACAACGAGATCACTTGGACTCAGGAGGGGGAACATCACACACCGGGGCCTATTGTGGGGAGTGGGGAGGAGGGAGGGGTAGCACTGGGAGATATGCCTAATGTAGATGACAAGTTGGTGGGTGCAGCACGCCAACAGGGCACATGTATACATATGTAACAAACTTGCACGTTGTGCACATGTACCCTAGAACTTAAAGTATAATAAAAAAAAAATGGTATTCAGCTCTAGTGAAATAAGCAGGTCAAATAAAGGTGAGGTGATCTAAAACTCTATCACAAATACTCAAGGTATTTTCCATCTGCAGGGTCCTGATAGGAAATGGGAATTGGCAGCCCCAAAAATAAGGGGAATAAAAGCACTGAATATTTAGATGGAGGAGCAAATAAAGGTGCGGTAATCCACAAGAAATAAAGCAAATTTATGAGCATTTTGAACAAAACCTAGTAAATTGAAGTTACATCAGCAATTTATCTAGCTAATCAGAAAACAAAATATTTGGCACCGTTACATGGCAGGCATTTACCTGGGTACAGGGAGAAATACACACACACACACACACACACACACACACATATACACACACAGATACATATTTGGTCTGTTTCACTGCTATATATATAGCATATATACCAACATGGAGTTATATGCTACAGAATTTAGCTATGGTCTCAGTTGTCTGAATTTTAATATTTTCCCTATTATATGCTTTAAGGGATACTGCCCCAAACTAGCTTTTCCACTTCCCTTACTACGATATTTAGGACTCGTGTTTGATGCTCAGCCTGCCTATTTGGGATTTTGAATTCTAATTCACTGTATAAGGCTGGTCCTTAGTGCTTCTGAGATTATGGCTCTGATACCACATTTGTTCTGTTTCACTGATATATATATA